TCTGATACCACTTATTAGACAAATGGCATCTAGAGGGGGGGGGTGAATAGATGCACAAATTAAAATAGATGTCAAATTAAAAATTTATTTGTGAGTCAATAATTTGTTAAAGTGGAAGAAATAATATAATCAGGAAATGAGAAAGAGATAAGGGAAAGAGAAGAGCACATAGAGATTTATACTGGTTCGGGTATAGCCAACCCTACATCCAGTTCCCAGTCAACTCTTAACACAAGAGTGACTCCCCATTCACTATCTTTCAAATTCAGTTTACAAATTACAATCAACTCAGCAGAAGAACCAGTAAAAAGTAAACTAATTAAAAAGACAATCACTTCCTTAGAAACCCACTAAGGATGAACACCTCCCTAGAATCCCACTAGGGACAAACACCTCCTCTGAACAAATCAAAGGATGAAAACACCTCCTTAGAATCCAACTAAGGATGAACACCTCCCTAGAATCACACTAGGGATGAAAAACACCTCCTTTTCACCAATACAAAAAGGATGAAGGTAATAAAAATAAGAACAGACACACCTGGGTAATGGAGACAACAAATTGTAGAAGCCTGTAGAATGTCAATCTCCAAGAATAAGTGTGATTAACAATGAAAGAACAAAAGGCAGTAGAGAAGAGGATTTTCTCAAAAGGTGTAAACTATCTCTGTTGTCTTACTCGAATTCTTTTCTCAAAACTGATTGAATGTAAATTGTATTTTCGAATTCCGTAATTGTGTCTTTTTTATTTTTCATCAAAACTTAATTAAATAGAAAAATAGCATCGGAAAATGGTTGTTGGACATTAATAATATCATAGAGAAAATCAGGATGTATTCAAAAACATTTATTCTTTAAAACAGATATATTTTTCAAATTTGAATTGCCATAATTGATTATATTACCAGTATAATTAATTATGATAGAGAAATTTATTTTTTCATTTCTGGTGCATCATAATTAATTATGACAGTGAAAAATATCATGTTATGAATTTTATCACACTTGTGCTTTGGAGGCTTATGCATAATATTAATTCATCAACTTGTACCTCCATATCCAGTATTCTAAGACTCTATCTAGTCTTCATGAATAATCTTAGGCTTGCTTGAATCATCATCTTTATCAAAAACATATATTGAGCATGTAGGGAAATGTTTCACATTGTCACCTACGTCATAAATTCAGTTTGTGCTTAAATTCATCTTCAATGGTGTTGACTTGAATGTAGTTGACTTGAATCATCATCAAAATCATCTCTTGGGAATGCAGGAATATTTCCATCAATCTCCCCCTCATTGCTTTCAAAAGTATTTCCTTTTCTTTTTCTAATACATATAAGGTCATTTTTTATATTTCACCAATTTTTTTCTTCTACCCACTTTTTATTTTTTTTATCTTTTTTAATCTTTTATATCAATTAATTTATTACATTACTCTTTCTCTTACCTTTCAGTTTTTCACATTTCCTTAATCTCTCCCATCAATTTGTTTTTTTTTCAATCTTTTCAATCAATTTGATGAACACAAATTTTTTTTTAATTCTTTATCTTTTTCTAAATATTTTACATAAATCTTAGTAATAACTAATATTATTTTATTTATAATTTATATTTATTAGGTTTTATTATGTCATATTTTTTATCTTATTATTCTTATTTATCATATATCAAATTTTATCTTAATAAAATAATTGTATTTTAAAGGATTAAAGGAATTGATAATTTAAACTTTTATTACTTCGAACTAATTGAATAAGAATTAACTTATTAAATATTTCCTTAAAAACTATATATTTTATATTTTTAAATGACAACTTAAAAATGAATTAACTTATATATAATGAAATGTTTGAATATAGTATTATAATAATAATGTTATAAATATTCAAATATTTGAATATAGTGTTATAATAATAATAATGTTATAAATAAAAAATGATTAAATATTTCTTTTACATACATATTTTAATATAAATATAATAAATTAAAATATATATTTAATTAATAATAATTATAAATTATAAAATTATAAATATTTATTTATATATAAAAAATAGATAGTAAAATTAATTTATTATAAATGTAATTATCTTTTTAAAAATAATATAGATCGGGGACGGGCGGGAGCGGAACCCGAAACCCAGCGGGACGGGGATGGGGACTTAATTTTTAACCCCGGTAGGAATCGGGGACAGGGATGGTTAAAAACCCACCCCCGCCCGTTCCGCCCGTTGCCATGCCTAATTAAAATGATTTCCAATCAACTAAATTTTTTTTTCCCCACTTAACATTAAGAAAGCAATTTAATTTAATTCCTTTACATAATCTTTGTATCACTAAAGATAATATAGAACCATTTTCACAATAAAACCAAGATTATCAATTTTTTTATATAAATTTAATTTAAAAATTGTTTTAGATAAACCAAGATTATTAACAAAAAGTTGCAATATACATTAAATAATTATTTATATTCAAAAGAAAAATATATTTAATGTTATCATCATAGTATAATGGTATTTAAATATATAATAAATGTGATATAAAAAAATTATTTATTTTTAAGGTTGTATTACACAAACCAAAATAAATATTATTTTTTATTATTTTAATAAAAAAATTTCATCAATGTCTTTGTTATCTTGTTATTTTTTCTTCATCTAAAATCAATGTCAACTTATTATATTAATAAAATATAATTAAGAAGATAGATTATAATTAGGGATGACAAAATGGGTCGAGCCCGTGCGAGCCACTCACATACTCGCCATAATATGGTGGGGCGGGTTAGTGTTTTCAGCCTACCAATCCGTTTTGGACCGCCTCTGCTAACCTACGGGCCAACCCGCGGCTCGTCTAATTAATAAAAAAAAATTATGGTAATAAAATTAATTATAAAGATAATATATAAAGTTAAAAATTTTAAAAAGATAATTAAAAAAGTTTCACTCTCACAAGAAATATTCTCCTTAGTGAAACACAATATTCTCTCTCATATTTTCCTTGTTCATCCTAAACACTGATTATTTTTATCCTTATGACTTAAATTAAAGGTGTAAAAATTACTCAACCAAAAATAATGTGAAGTTTTATGAAATAAAAAAGATATAGGTATTTGAATTTTTCAATATAAAAAATATAAATTTAATAAGTTTTAACGTATATATATATATATATATATATATATATATATATATATATTTGTTATTATTTATTATTACGTAAAATTTATTATTGTTCTAAATTATAATTTCTTAAAAAAATGTATTGATTTATATTATTAAATTGAAATAATATATATATATATATATATATATATATTAAATTATTGACAAACAAATAATAATCTTATTATTAAATTTATTAAAAAAATTATTTTAAAAAATAAATTATTTTTTCTAAATTATGACGAGTCAACCCGCCAACCCACCCTTTAGCGAAGTGGGTCAAGGTCTAACCCGCTTTGTCATCCCTAATTATAATTAATAAAAAAGAATAATTAATGCAATTTTAAACTTTAAGAAGAGTTGTAAATCCAGTTATTTTAAAACACATTAAATATAATTTAACCGTTTAAAATAGTTATTTATTTATTTATAATAAATATATAAATCTTATTCTAGAAGGTTTATTATCTTTTATATATAAAGGATTTATGAATGGGAGTTAGAAATTTGTTTTTATATGTTTTTTTTAATCTTAAGTACTAAGATTAATTATAATTATTATTATTTAAATAAATAAATAAATAACAATGAAAAAAATTGTAATTCTTAAACTTTGAGAAAATTAATCTCTCCAAATTACATATGAATAACACTTGAGTTTGTATAACTCACTTCTAATTCAAGATTTTGATATATATGAACTGGTTTTGTTTGTACAATTTTCTAAAAGAAATAACGCTCTCCTCATGAAATCATCTTCTCTATAAACACGTTTTATAAAAAAAAAAACGTCAATACTACATTTTTAAGATTTATTGACAACTCTAATTTATAAATCTCTAGTTCCAAATATAGTGTTTGAATGTTCTGGCACATTGATTAAAAATATTTAATTCATTTGTATTAATCCATACTGTCTTTCTTGACTCTTTTTTTTTTTTATCTTTTCAATGTAAGTGATGCTATATTAATTAAAAATTAGTTTTTCGTGTAAAAAAAATATCCACAATAATAACATAGTTGCAGTTAATTCTCATGAAATTTTAACTATTTTAAAGTTATTGTCTTTCATAATTTTGTTTTTAATATTATAGTTTCAAATATGATAATACCTTAAAAATAAAAATTCATCCTAGATAATATTATCACTATAGACATAAAGTCAAAACACTCACATCAAAAATATATTATTTAAAAATAAAAAAATTTCTCTTTTCGTTAATTATTAAGTATCATCTTAATTTTTTTAAAGAAAAACAGACACAATAAAATTTATTGTTCTTAATAAAATATTTTTATGATATTTTATTTTACATATAATCTAATAATACAAGATTAAGTGAAAAATAATATATAAATAAAAAAATATGTGTTTGTTTGAAATAGTAATCTTTGCAAAATTACATATTAAAAAAATTACAAATTTACTTTTAAAACAACGGAAATCTACTTATTTGAAAAATAAATAATTAAAATAAAACATAAAAAATAATAAATTTACTTATTTTGTATTAAAATATATTTTTAACACAAATAAATACATATATAAAAACCGGTCCATGATAAAAATTTAAAATTTTATTGTTCATGAAAAAAAAAAAAAAATATATATATATATATATATATATATATATATATATATATATTGAACTGAATAACAGTTAAACTTTGGCATCATCATCGATGTCCGAAAATTAAGCATAAATAAAGAAAACCCCATACATACCCTTTGTCTATAAATTGTTCAGCTACGGAGCTTTCAGAAGCAAGAACAGTTGTTGACGCATTAAACCTGCAAGACATACCAATCACTGTATTAATTTGTTTGGAAAATGGGTTCCAAGAGTGTTGCCCCCGTTGCTCTTCTCCTCTCCCTCAACCTCCTTTTCTTTTCCATGGTCAGCTGCACCACCCTTACCCCTGCCAACCACGCACCAACTAAGTGCCCGCCATTGCATGTCTGCGCCGGCATCTTGCTGCCCCCTTTCAAACCTGACCGTAAATGCTGCCCCCTCATCGGTGGTCTTGTTGACCTTGAAGCCGCCGTGTGCCTCTGCGCCGTTCTCAAGCTCAACATCGGTGGAATCGTCGACGTGGATCTAGACCTTCTCGTCAACATTCTATTGAACACCTGTGGACGCAAAAAGACCACCTACACTTGCAAATAATGACACTATATGTGTCACATCCATCATATTCTGCTATGTCATTTCCTTTCTACCATTTATCTCTTTGTTTCCCGTTTTTTAAACTTAAGGTGTTATTACCATTCGTGTCTGCTACATGTATGTGCCAGTGGACACTATAATAATATTACCAATAAATTATCGTTTTTTATTGTGGATGGGGATCTTACCTTCTTCCTTATTTTTGTTCATCGTCTTCTTCGCGAAACTTGTTCTATTACAGACAGTCCTTTGTTTTCAAGAACTGATAATTCAAGATACAGTCTTAAATGACTCGTCTGTCTTTATTTTAGGTTATGTGGAAAGAGGCTTAATGGAGTAGTTTAAAAGTTTTGAAATAGGAATTAAATCTATTTTATGATACATCCAGTGAATTTATGAGTTAATTTATTTTATAAAATAATTATTATTTTTAAAATAACAATAAAAATAAAAATAATACTTATTTTATTAAATATATATATATTATAAATTAATTTGATCAATAATTTATTTATTTTAAAAATAATTTAAAAATAAATTATAATAATTATTTATTTAAAAATATAATAATTAAGATTAATTATTATATTAAATCATTAAATTAAAATAATAATAATAATAATAAATAAATTTTTATTTTATTTTAAATTAAATGAATTTATTATCTTATAATTTATATATCAAATTATTTAATAAAAAATAATTTTATTAATATAATTTAAATTAAAAATATCTTTTATTTATTTTATTTTTAAAATTTTCAATCTTATTAAAATTAATCTAATAATATATTAATCTAATATAATATTATTAGCCTAAAAATTATAATCTTATTTTAAAAAATAGATTAGATTACATCATCACATTTTGTTGACAGCCGTATTTGAGTATAAGGTGGCAAAGTTGATAAGCATTAATTGGTATAGTAATGACCTTAACCTCGGTTTGGATCTTTTGACCAAAACAAAAGTTGTTGTTTCAGTTTGATTTCCGGCATAAGTATGAAGTGGCAACTGACCATGAAAGTATGGAAAACATTAGGTGTATTTTGTTAAGAATCTCAACGTGTAGATATTTGTTTTTTTTTTTTATTTTGGTTAACGTACGTCAAACTCCTTTATTCCTTAACTTATTAGTATAATATATTAATTTTAATATTATATGTAATCATATGGTAAACTATACAATTAAAATTGTGGTATACTTTAAGAAATAATAATATTAATATTAATTTAAATTGAATATTATGTTAGGAAAAACATTAAGGTAAAAGTTCTATTATATTAATGTACTTGTAAATAAGTATGTGTTGTTATTTTTTAGGATTTTTTTTAGGTTGTTTTCCGCTCCGCTGAAGTTGTTCCTGTAAGAAACATTCTGAATCAACCTTCTTTATAGGTTCACACTATATGTTTAACGAATAATAAATATAATGGAATAAAATAATTTAACAGTTTTGTACGTGTATTTTAAACTCTCGTTTCATTGTATTCATTCAAAAATATTATATCGTTTTTTAAAGGGCATAATTTTACTTTTCTTACATATACACATTGTGTAACATCAAACATTTTTTATAAAGCTGTCAATCATGCCGTTACATTCAAACATTACATAAGTTTCGCGAGGACTCGTCATTGTTTTACCATAAACAAAGTTTTTCTTGAGATCTACAAAATCAAAGAAATACATACACTAGATAATTCCTAAAAGACTATATTAATTTTAAATTTAAATATTAACCTTTATTATATCTATCAAATTGATATATATATATATATATATATATATATATATATATAATATTTTCAATAAAATTAATATCATTCAAAATTTACATAAGAGGATTTCTATTTGATATTTATTGACTAATGGAGGACACAATTTCATCTTAAGAATCTTCCTATTTTAAAATTAATAAACTTGAATATCTTTTATAATTTAGTCACATAGTTTAATACTTATGTTATACTTAATCAAACTCGGTACATTTCTTTAGAACTAATAGCTTTTGTTGCATATACCAATCCTTATTCATCTTAATTAATTTAATATTATTTGATAATATCTCAAATCATCTCAATTTATTTCAATCAAATACATTTTCCATCTAAATATAAATAATAAAAAAAACAAAAAATTTATTAAAATATAACCAATTTTAACATTTAGAACAATTAAATATGGATTGGATATCAAGTGTGAATTTAAAATTATTGGGAAGAAGTAAGAATTTTGAATAAGTTAAAATTCATAAATATAACGTCTTGATGATAGTATCGTATATCTTTGACTTATGTCTTTCATGAAAATCTCCCACTTTTAATCCCTTAAAAATATCTAATAACATGTGTTTTACACTTTCTAGCTACAAAACAAAGTCATTTGAACTAAATTTGATAATTTTATTCACTCCCTTTATTTAGTTGGGTTAAAATACATTCAAGTGAAAAAAATATATGACTAAAGTACTATTCATGTTTTTAAAATCAGATGTAAACGAGTGAAAACACACTACTAGAAAAATGTCAAATAGTAATCAGAAATCGGTGATCTGAAAAATTTAGTTACTATCGATGACCGAATCAGTAACCAAATTATTATTTTTTAGTCTAGTAACTCGAAATAGTAACCGAATTTTCGGTCACATAAAATCGGTTACTATTTCGAGTCACTTTATTATTTAATTTATTTTTTTAATTAATCTATATTTAATTTATGTAATTATTTTTGTTTTTACGTGGTAATTTTTTATTTTTTTCGCACTGTAGGATCTGACCTACGTACGAAAATTTCATCTTCGCGCCCCAAATTTTCTTCATCTTCTTCGCGTAACCCAAATTTCATCTTCGAGCTTAACCTAGACCCTTCATTTGTCCATCCCTAAGCGAATTCCAAACTCAACCCCGACCTCAACCTTGACAAACTCGACGAACTTGAGGCCCAAACCCATCTCCGACGACATCGAACCCTAATCCGAAGCCAAACTCCGGTCGTCGTGCGGTCAAACCCAACGCAAACCCAGTGACCTCGAACCCTAACCCAAACCTCAACCACCTTGAATCCAAGCGACCTGCAATCGTGGCGACAATTAAAACGCTGTGCAGAAATTGTTTTAATCGATTGAAACGAGATTTAATCGATTAAAAGAGTTCTGATCGGTCATAATTGCATTCTGACCGATCATAATTGAAACCATATAATAGCGGTTTCACTTTGACCGCTATCTAAGTGAGTTTCTAAGAGCGGTTCCTGTGTAACCGCTATCTAACATGTCTTTCGCTTGAGCGATAATCTTCTCGCTCAAGCGAAACGCCCCCTGCACAAAATTGGCATTCTTGGGTTGTATTTCGCTTGATCGACTCTAATCTCGCTCGAGCGATGGTGCAACCGCTATTAGAAGTGCTCTTTTAAGAGCGGTTCCAGTGAAACCGCTATCATATACAACCAGATTTTTTGATTCGATCGATTAGATTTTTGAAATGATCGATCATATTTGATAATTTTTCCAAATAATTAAGTATAATCGATTAGTTTTCTAAATTATTGATTAGAATTGATTAGTTTTTCAAATAATAGATTAGAATTGATTAATTTCTGAAATATATACTAAAAAATTATAATTAAAACTATAAATTAGTTAAGAATATTGACTAATGTAAACATAAAGTAGAACATGGGAGGAGATGAGGATGATAATATAATCATAGAACTTACAAAAATGTAGAATTGAGAAGTTTGAATTACACTTTTAATAAATTTAAGATAATACTAGTTTTGATTTTTATTTTTAAATATTTATTTTAATTATTTCAAACAGAGAAACTATAATTTTAGTTTCTAGCTACTTGAATTTAAAGAATTAAATTTATTATTATTTAATCTTTTAATTTTAGTATTAAAATTTTAAATTATATTTTTCTACTTTGAGAATGAACAATATAATTAAATTCAAAATTGACAATATTATAATACATTTTTGAACTCTTTTGCATTAATTTTTTTTCCTAATTTTTTATAAAGTTAATTTTAATATTTAAAAGTATTTAACATTTTGATATAATGAGCATGATATAATATAATGATAGAATTTACAAAAATGTAGAATTGAGAATTTTTAAATCTTTTTCTAATATTTATTTTTAAAAATATAATATTTTTTTTAAAATTTAATATTTTTTTTTCAAATATATAAATATATAAAGATATAAATGTATAAGGATATAAATAAATATATAAATATATCAAAATATAAATATATAAATATAAGTTTCTTGTAAAACTTTTCAAGTTATTTTAACTAATAAAAATAAGTTTTAATCAATTAAAACGCATGTGCAGAAATTGTTTTAATCGATTGAAACGGGATTTAATCGATTAAAAGAGTTCTGATCGGTCATAATTGCATTCTGATCGATCATAATTGAAACCATATAATAGCGGTTTCACTTTAACCGCTATCTAAGTGAGCTTTTAAGAGCGGTTCCTGTGTAACCGCTATCTAAAATGTCTTTCGCTTGAGCGATAATCTTCTCGCTCGAGCGAAACGCCCCCTGCACAAAATTGGCATTCTCGGGTTGTATTTCGCTTGAGCCACTCTAATCTCGCTCGAGCGATGGTGCAACCGCTATTAGAAGTGCTCTTTTAAGAAGTCGTTCAGATGAAACCGCTATCATATACAACCAGATTTTTTGATTCTGATCGATTAGATTTTTGAAATGATCGATCATATTTGATAATTTTTTCAAATAATTAAGTATAATCGATTAGTTTTCTAAATTATTGATTAGAATTGATTAGTTTTTCAAATAATAGATTAGAATTGATTAATTTCTAAATATATACTAAAAAATTATAATTAAAACTATAAATTAGTTAAGAATATTGATTAATGTAAACATAAAGTAGAACATGGGAGGAGATGAGGATGATAATATAATCATAGAACTTACAAAAATGTAGAATTGAGAAGTTTGAATTACACTTTTAATAAATTTAAG